TCTGTTAACACGCTTATACACTGAATTATGAATTTAAAAATAAAATGAATAAACTTTTCTTCTTTATTTTGACATGATTTGTTTATCAATTCAAAAGAAAAGGATTAATATGTAAAATATTATAAACGTTCTACTTTTTATAAATACAATGAATAACTTGTTATGTCTAGTTCACTTCTTAAAGAATCATGATACAAATCTGTAAAAATCACATATAGGGTAATAGTAAATTGTTGAAGTCACATAATTAATAAGATTTTGCATACAGGTTCGACATATCAATATTTATAATAATACAAATTATTGCAATCATCAATTAAAATTTAGAAAAACTGCTGCTTTAATTTTTGATGAGTTTGAGAACGTTTTTCACCAATTTTACGTTAATCATATCCACATTTCCATAATATTTTTTTATTAATCATAATTTTTAAATTACTAGCTAAATGTTTTGACAATGCCTTTAAAGATCATCAGGTCCAAGTTGTATGCAAAACAAACACAAATTTTAGAGTCCGAATGACGTAGATGTAAGCACTTATAGGTCACAATAAGGTCTTAAACAAAACAAAACATTCCGTAAAATACCCCCGTCATAATAAAAATGTGAATCCATTTAAACGAAAAAATCAACAGCCTGGTTTATGACAGAAATATTATTTCTACAAGCGTATAAAACATATTTAGATGTTAAACAATTAAAAGTAAAAAAACAAAAATACCGAACTCAAAGGAAAGTTCAAATGTAAAGTCTTTTATCAAATGTCACCATCAAAAGCTCCAACACATCAAACGAAAGGAAATCAACTGTAACAACGTCGTTAAAATAACCCCATATTCCAAGCGGGCAACTGTGCCTAAGCAAAATAGCTGTGTGGGAATGAGCGTGTAGGCAAAATAACTCCTTTGGCGACATCTTATGAATAATAACTTAATTAATATCAACTTTAGGTTCAGTTCAGTATAATAATACAGTTATGGCCTACATAACAGTAATATCCAAAATTATTAAATCTTACAGACTTCAAAGGAAATAATCCTTTTCTCGATTAAATAATTGTGGATATTAATATTTGAAGGCCGTAATTATTTATTGTTTTGTCATATAATAACAACACAAGCTGATGACAGTGTCAGTGATGTAAGCTGTATCTGTACACTTTATATTCTATAAAAAATATTCAATTAAAACTCGTCTGACCAACTAGACAAGAAATTAAAACTCGACTGACTAACTTTGATACAAGTTACAACACCCATCTATAAAATATCAACACTCAACAGGGACGTGTTTATTATATAAATATAAATAAAAGAAATATTGTTTTGGCGTAAATTTCTATTATCAGAAATCTTTTATCGAACCTTACCCAGACAAGAAATCATCGTCGTCTTGATTTTCGACAACAGTTGCTTCTGAATTCAATCTTTGGGCCCTGTTTATTAATATTTGCAGACAGGCTGCGGACGATTCAGCCATATTTATACTGTACCGCCAATCTGAAGAAAAATCCGGAGTCTGTCCGAATATTTACAGGAATACGCTAATGACGAAAGGATATTTTTAGCTAATACTTTGTAAAAAAAAATTTGATTGGTTGACAAAGGTACAAAACTTACGGTATGAAATTGAAAACCAACGCGTTGGTTTTTCATATCGTATGAACTACGAATCAACGCGTTAGTTTTTACAACCAACGCGTTGAAAATGATAACCAACGCGTTGAAAATGAAAACAACGCGTTGAAAATGTAAACCAACGCGTTGAAAATGAAAACCAACGCGTTGAAAATGAAAACCAACGCATTGAAAGCGCAAACCAACCCGTTGAAAGTAAAAACCAACGCGTTGAACAATTCATACGGTATGTTCATATCGCCAGTGCAATGACACGAACGGCCACTCATAAACTTCAATACATTTTAGTGTAAATTACAATGCCTATCTTTTTTTTACAATACGTTTTATTAGATCTTTTGATACAAAAGAAATATTCATACTGGTTTCTTGACCCATGAATTTGTATTTTGATAATTTATCCAATATATAAATTATATACCTATCTGGACTTAAATCATATTTCTTCGTTCAACTTTTAATGTACTAGTAGTTGAAATTTGATCAACCAATTACAAGTAGAATTTAAAACTGACCTTTAATCCCTATCAAATTAAGAGGGTGTCAAATATTCATATACAAGTAATATCGTCAGCAGTAAATTATATATAATATTATCGATACGCTTCGTTTTATAGGACGACATTTGCGGTAATTTATTGAACATTTTATTCAGAATATAGCATAGATGGGGTTTCTGGATGAGGTTTACAAAATATTTGACAAACATAAGAGAAAATAGGCAAACAAAATCAAGAATGGAGAAAAATGGCCTCATAAATTAGACAATACTGAAACGAAAAATCCCCCATCTAGACCTTTTGTTTGTCTACGGATGTGCGTCCGTCTTTTTTTTAAAGGTAAATCGGTCGTTGGTCATTGAAGTCGGCTGTTGTTATATGCGATAAAACGGTAGGATATCGAATTCAGTGTCCATCATACATCGTTTTGGGATAAAATCAAAATGGCTTTAACAGAACAGTACAGTCGTCTTTTAAAGATGTTTATGTGTTTAATCCTTGTTTCTAGTGTAGTTATTTGTAAATTAGAAGATCGGTCTGTACACTGCTAGAATTTGTTACGTGCAATATGATATGTTATCATTTGTAATACTTACAATTTACATAACACTACATGAAATTTAACAAGTGATGTTTGACATAAAAATCCTACTAATTCAATCCAAATTAGGAGAACAAACAATATAAAAAATAATGCTAAACAAAAGTGTTATTTTTAGTGAGTTTTTTTATGTCATTTCAAAATAAGTCTTTAAGTATGAAATTGGATAAAATGACGTTAGTCTTTTCTTTTTTTTTACCTGGAAGGTCATTTTAGCTTTTGCAATTGTATGACGTCCGTTGTCGTCGTACAAAATTCGTTAATTCTGATTGTTCGATTTTCAAAATTCTTATTCTCTGACAAATCAAGGCGCATGTTTTAAAACCATTCACATTTAGAATTTGAAGACCCTTAAACAAAACTCACACCTTGTTCCTTTGTTTGTTGTGTGTGTGTATGTGTTTCCCCCTCTTTTTTTTTACTTTTTTTTTTTTTGCTTATCATTTACTGATTTTGTGTCATGGATGGCTACCCTATGTTCTTTCTTTTCTATCATCAATAATACAAGACTTATAATTGTGTACTCTAGACGCGCGTTTCGTCTACATAAAATCATGAGTGACGCTCGAACTAACAAAGTTAAAAGGTCAAGTACGAAGATGGAGAGCATCGAGGAACTTGAATTTCGAAACAATCCTCATGTAAGGTTTATCTAATGACAAACGTGGTGGCATTGGTGATTCAAATTTCACATTGAACCTTGTGAAAAATTTTACGAAACACACTTAGTTTAGATTTGATTGGATGAAAAAATTGGCTTCTAGTTTCATTTATAAATTCTGATCGATCAATTTAGAAATATATTCTCAAAAGTCTCAATGTGAAATTAATTATTGATTCAGGTGGGCCAATTTCAAAAATTTCTTCTTAAACTACATGGACAAATATTGTGACTCTTTACAAAATTGGTGATTTGGATACACTTTTCAAACTGTTCTCGTTTTTCCTTCATGGGGTGGTAGCCACGATGGCACTGACGGAAGATATTTCACATATCATACTAGAAATCTAGCAATCTCTATAAAATGTTTAAACATTACATCCACGAATATCAATTCTTTGAAAGTTACGGTTGGAACTATTGTACTAAGATATATAATATCACAGGTTACGAACATCATGGTAAAGTTACGGACATCCCTATTGGTATAATAAAAAAAAGTTACAGACAAGGTGCTTTCAAGTTACGGACATCCTAAGTGTTTTCGCAAATCGTGATGTGATCGTTTATTTTGTAGTATTTAATCACCTTTTACGTTTAGGAGCTTCCCTAAAAGAGTGATACAACTTTTTAATTACTGAACATTTGTGCTGTATTCATGGTATTGTTATATAGGAGAGAAGTTGTTTACCGACTCCAGGCGGCTCCATCTTGGGCTGTGGGTAACTGAACTGAAGTTACCCACAGCCTTTAAAGCACAGTGCTAATGCGATAGAAATTGTGGAGTCAAATGCATTAATGCAAAGTGTAAATGATTTAACACGACTTATGATAAGCGAATTCCCTAAAAATTATACTCATTCATTATTCAACTTTTGTTAAACTTTATAACAGTGGTTGAATAGTAAAGCATTTTTATCTTATTGTCTGAAACTACAAGTGTGGACGATAGTGAACCAAACATATCTGTGTGGAAGGTTATCTTCAATTTAGGATCTGAAAAAAAAATTGCTATTACTTGATGTCATTGTCTGTAAACATTGTAATACGATGACACAATATAAAAAGAGCTAGAAGGGGTCAGTAGCCTTTAGAATACTTTTGATTCAAGGGGTATTGCCCTTTACAGTGAAAAATGTTGTCTTAGCTTTTTGTAAAGGACATGAAAGAATTTCTTCAAATTGATACAGGGGTAGTTGCCGATCAGCATCGGATTTGGTCACAATTCGACTTTTTCTGTTTCCAGAGTTATCATTGGAAGTGCAAGTTAAACATTTTAAAACTTTGGGTTTTACAGTGAAAACGCAAACAAAATGTCGACTTAACACTTTGTAGACAAATGATTACATAATCCATCAGATTGTTTTTCAGACTTTTAGCTTTGTTCGGTTCCAGATCTATGCTCCTGGTAATTTAGATGTGCAATTTTGTTTTAATAGGACAAGTTCCCATTGCAATACTAATGACCAATTGATTTTAATCATATGTTTACGAAATACGATACTTGTCACTGTTGCTATTTGTATATATCTTTTCAACCTTAGTAATCCAGTGAACCGTTTTTGGTTCCTTGGAGACTCTAGGTGTCGTATACAAACTGTAAATTGATATATATCTTAAATATATTTAAAAGGAATGTTAACGAGTATTTGCTTATCGAACCATCGCATCGTTTAAAATTTTGCGTCTCGACGTATATATTATCTTAATTTAACTATGATTGAATACTGGATTATTATACAGTTGGAACTTTTCAGATGTTCATTTGTTTGAAAAATGAAGAAAAATAATTCCATGTTCAGTTTCACTTCAGAGAAAGTTTTCGAAATGCAGAAAGCAGTTTGTTGATCATACTTAGATTATATTCGGAGATAAATCTCGTGTTGTGAGAGGAGCACTGCCAGGCTTGGTGAGTTTCGAATTAGTTGAGCTACAAATATTTACATTACAGAAACTACAGCATTAACATTGATTTTATGATTCTTTCTTAGTTTTTCCTCGACATATTTTCTCTAAAATAAATTTTATAATAATAAGTGAGAACTTGGAGAAGCGGAAATGCAAAATAAAAACAAAAAAGTATAAGAATATAGAGAAACTAGTATGAGAAATTATCCAAAAAATTGTATATAACACCTGGGTAAAAGTTATATTCAAAAGGAGATCGCCAAATTTATTCAGGTTACTAACGCATATAAGAGGGTGTGGATAGGGGTTTACAGAATAGAGAATAATGGGTAAAAAATATAAAGAATATAGAAAAATGGATCCAAAAAAATCAAGAATAGAAAACAATGAGATGCTGAAATATTAAAAGAAAATGAGAATAATGGGCAAAAAGTATACAGAATAGAGAAAAATGGCCAAAAAAATAAAGAAAACAGAAATAGAGTACATCCATCCAGACCCTCGCATAAAAGTTCTGATTTAAACTTTAGTTCATAAGTAATTAAATAAATAAGGTTTGTATACTTACAAGTATACTCATTTCGTGTGAATACGATATTAACGTCGTGTTAAAGTTACGCTTCAATTTAAATATTTATTTCTGTAATGGTTTTCAGACTTTCATCAGGAATGGCATGCAAAGACGTGTGCATTGAGATCACAGACATCCTAACTTCGATTGAAAGCCTTGAAAATATGGCAAAACCAGTTATTAACGACAGGAGGCAAAATGAATATTGCAAATACATATCTCTATTTTTATCTCATTTTGGGCAAGAACGGTGTATGTTAGTTGGAAGTACTAAGGAGAGGACAAGATTGAGGCTACAAGAAAATGAAGGGGATTTTGATTATTTGGTAATTTCGGGAATTTCTATTCCAATTGAATGCTTAGAACATAGAAAGAACCTACCATGTTTTGTAACTATTAATGGATGTATGTTGAAGGACATGTTTCCGGATGTTGAGCTGATCCACGGAAAATATTTACCAAGTGACTTACTAAGTGACATTAGACCGGAAGCTTTCAAACATAGTAGAGATATTCATAAAATAGTAACTCAGATGGATTCAACACATGGTCGAAGCACACTGCATGTTTCTTTAGATCATAAAATTAAACCTGGACTGTCATTGGTGGATTATGCAGATCCTAAATGCCCAGAATTAAGCATGGAACAAAACAAACAAAAGAAAGACATCGGACTTATTAAACAAAATGTTGAGAAAAGTCTCCTAGGAGATTCACGTGAAAATGAAAAAGCGATACGTAAAACAGGTATAACCATCAGCAGTCTTGTTCAGGGGTGGGAGGAATTAATTTTGTCAGATAACAGCAAGACGACTATTTTCCACCAAACATTCGATCAACTCATTGAAGCACTTACAAACAGCGAGGATCAAACATCTCCACGACACCTAAAGAAACGAAAATTAGATTCTAGCGGTGATTTTTCAACGCCTAGTGATGTGCCATCGACTTCCGGTTTATCAGGTAGATTAAATAATGAGAGTCATAGAGAAGAAGAAGTTCGAGGGAATGATGGAGACGATCAAGTCACTATCCAGTACAAATATAAAACAAGCAAAGATTTCATTCCAGTCTTTCCTCTAAAAGGAAAACCTAAGTATTTAGATGAGTGGCTAAACAGAAAAAGAAATTGGCCTCCGACAGACGTCGTTACAGATATATATAACAGTGAGTTTTTCGTCGTTGCTAAACCTGCTCTTGTTGAACCGTCAAAAGATATTGATTTTTGTCTTGCATGCAATATAGGAGAAATCAAGCTAGCTGAAGCAATGACTCTACTACAAAGAAATGTCATCCTTATCATTAAAGCCTTACAGAAAAGTTCTTTGCGAAATTATACTGAAATAGTGACAACGTTTCACTGGAAAACTGTTGTATACTGGGTGTCTGAGATAACTGAAACTCAAATACTGGAAAACCGAACAGAAGAAAATATTCTTCAATTTCTTCAAAATGTTCTGCAGTATATGGTTGATTGCTTGTGTAAAAATGCTCTGCAACATTATTTTGTTCCTAGCAATCTCTTTGTCGGTATACATGAAAATGAAATACATGACATAGTACAGAAGATTTTTGAAATTCAAGAAGACCTTATGGGGAATTTACAGAATTTTTTCAACAAACAAAGTACTGATGAAGTTAACAAAAACTTTGACATTGTTTCTAGGAGCAAGATCAAAGAATTTCAAGAAATGCATTCCGATCCAGGTGAAAACGCCATAGTCGAATCAGTCGTTTCACTCCTCAGAGGATTTGTCATTGAAAATAGAGAAGTTGTGAGAACAGCTTTAAAGGATGTTTTAACAGAAGCAGTTCCATTTTTAATTGAAGAGGTAACCAGGGGACGTAAACCTAACGACATGGTTGTTAACTCGCAAATTATTCAAGCTCTTTCAAGAACAGATAGTTTACGAAGCACTTTGATTGATAGTGCTGTATCCTGGTTACTTGACGAAATGCATAGCACTGAAGCACCAAACTTGGAAGATTGCACTCGGAATATGTTTGTAGTTTTGATGCAGAAAATTTTAACTGGAAACTAATATTCTATTGTTAACTGTTAGAAAAAAAGGATATGTATTTAAACATGCTGCTGTAGAACTGTCTATTTCTATCTATGTCTTTAAATTATCAAATTATTATGAATAAAAAATAATATATTAAAGCTTTTTTACAATTGCGTGTTGACCAAACTTTGGTTTCGATTTTATTGGAAAATCTTTTTATGATTATTTGCTGAAGCATTGTTATAAAGATTGACATTTCGAAGACAAAGAATAGGTGGTCTGTTAAAAATAATTTGGCTTTATCATATTGTATCCAATCACACAATTAAATCTAGCTATATATACTCTATCACAATGGGTAGGGTTGTCTAGGGAGATATCATTCTGTGCTGGTGATTTGGTCCGGATTGGTTCTTGTGATCGTTGAAGTAATCGCTTCGAAAGTTTAATGGACGCAAGACCTCTTTTTCTTATTTGTGACATCACTTATTCAGAATTGTCCCCAGATTTGTACTTGCATGAGAAACACGACGGATGCTACATGTGGAGCATGAACTGCTAACCCTACCGAAGCACATGAGTTCACCCTGGTTTTTTGGTGGGTTTCGTGTTACTCAAGCTTTTGTTTTGTTGATTGGTTCGTTTTTTCCTCGTTTTTCGTTGATTACCATTGCGTTGTCAGTTTTTTCTTCGACGTGTGAGTTTTGAATGACCACTTCGGCCTCCTTTTGGACAAAGACGAAAAAAGGAATTTTGTCGTTTACACGAAAAAAACAGACGACAAGAAATAGTTGAAATGATTTGATTTTCTTTCTTATGGAATAAAACAATTGGGCCACTATGCTGTTTCAGTATGCGTAACACAAAAATTCTCATTTTTAAAACCTCTGGAATGGAAAGAAATTAAAAAAAAGAAAATCCTTGAATCCGCTATAAATATCCAAATCCGTACGACATAATGTTTTGCGGAGAAAAAAAATTGTGCATTTTCTCAGTTTTGTGCTGATGGGTCCTGATATAATGCTTGTGCTTTTGAGAAGATGTAAGTCTTATTTGAATGAAACTTTGTAAAATCAATAGAATAAGTGAAAGGATTGTATCCAATCTGATTTGTGGCACCTATTTTAATTTTGACTGTATTAGTATAATGAGTGTTATCAAATAATCGTAACTTCATATTACATTGTATTATTCGAAAGGACGACAATATCTTCAGTTCAACATCTGCAGAAAACATATTTAATTATTATAGTTTTACTTTGCCAATACAATTCCCTTGAAAATTGTAATTTTCATCAGCACAGTATGCCTATTTTAAAAAGAACAATTTTAAAAGATAAGCATGTTTTGGCAACATTTCAAACAACATTTTTTATTTATTATACTTTGATATGTGTTTCGTCTCACTAGAATTTGAATATGATATAAGATCTGTTGATGCAATGATTGTAGGATATGCTTATTCTATCGAACTGGTGGCGCTCCGTTCGGAGTGGAATGATGCTTTTGATTGGTCTATTTCAAATGGATTTACAATCTTGGATAGTCTAACAACTGTTGCCACTAACTTGTCTGACCTTAGATGAATTTGGCTATTATTTAAGGTCCATTTTGTTCATACTGCTCTTCGAGTGTCTCGGTACTTATGCATCCTTGTCTTTAAATTTTTAGCTTCTATTGTTCCTTATGAAGGTTAACCCAGAAAAGCGCTTCGGAATAATAAAATTTATGAAGTATTATTTTCATGTTCATTTACATACATGTATATGTTGTCAACAATAAATTTCGACAGAATAAAAAAAAAAGACCAAGGCTTGCCTTTCAGACATTTCTGATGTAAAAACTGAATTGTATGGAACATTAATGTGAACAATAATTATTACAGGTGACCGTATGGCCTTCAACAACGAACAAAACCCATCGATACGGAGCACTTGATCAAATTACAAAAAGACAAATGACACAATCTATCGTTAGTTAACTTTTACATTTCAATCTTCTTCTTCGAAATATTTTGTCCAGTTTATGCTTGACAGGATATACAAGCAACAATTTTATTCCAATGCTTTGAAAATTCAAAGATAAAAATTTTTACAAAGTTTGTCAATTGTTTTGAAGACAAAAACAAAATGCGAAAAACTGTGAATACAAGTAAATGATAAATTAAAATATTCTCCCGAAGTTGCATTGATATTCACCTAGGTTTAGTGTTTTTTTGAGATGTCATATAATTCACAATCGTGAAAAAAAAACTAGTCTTCAAGGAGTCAGTATCACTCAACTGGTATTTTTGTATTAAAGATATCACATGCACCAAGAATGTTTCTGTTTTAACAATGATCTTCAACAATACAAGAGGGATAATACCAGATATTAAATTCTAGAGTGACTAAGTATATGTACCATGTGAATAACCTAAGCACATTGGATCTTCCAAAGCAAACTAAGTGTCCTGGCAAGACAATAATTTAGATATCAACAGAAACTATATTTACGTGGTTTCAAACATAATAGAAGTCGAATAAGATATTGCAGTAGACAACTTATTTTCAGACGACTCAACACTCCCATTTTGATATCGATTACTGTGGATTCATTAATTTTCGTGGATACTAATTTTCTATAATTGACCAAATCTATAATTTTGAATTTATTTGATTTCGTGGATCTGCGAAAATTTGTATAGTGACACTATCCTTTAGAAAATGCACACTTCGTGAAACATTTAAATTCGTGGTTTACCTATACCCACTAAGTCACAGAAAATCGATGTACCACGAATGGTTATGAATCCAAAGTAGTTAAATAATGAAAGTGTTGTTAGGGTGCTGTCTTACTTACGTTTACAACATACCCCTTTTAATTCAAAGATTAAACTCCAAGACTGATAGCGACAATCAAAAAGACGTGAAGGAAAATGGTTCATTATAATGTACAAATTGTGCGACAACAAAACTTTTTGAAATTCACACTTTATCCTGGATAGATCTGTGCTTTATTGTTTGCTTCACTGCGTGCGATGAAGATCGGCAAACAATTATCTCAATCATCTGGAGTAATCCCTTAAACAATTTACAATATGCAAAATAAAATATTACATATAACAGGGGAAATGTTTAAAAGCACCATTTAATTATTCCGTTGATAACATGGCAGTTACACATGAAAGAATATTACTTAACCAAGAAACAAAATGGAACAGAAATCTCTCATCTCTCATTTTAAATGCTATTTGCACCACATTTTTTTCTCAAATAAAAACCGAAGTTATTTCGTTTCAGTTCGTTCTTAAAATATTTCTGCTCGTCGTGTTCTTGTCTTTCCAAAATACTTCCTGTTAGTCCCGAAGTATATCAGCAGCCAAGTAGCCAGTACTTCAGTACTGTCAAATTACGGATATTGATTGATTGAAATTAGCCCTAATATTTTTTTGAAATCATATTAAATTAAGGAATATATCTCCCACATGCGAAGCTCTGATTCCTTGTCCGCATTTGGCTATACTTAATGTAATTTTGGTTTTATCAGTCCATCAATATTTGTAATATGTTTTGAATTTCAAATATTTCGGCGGCGAGTATCACAGCATAGACATTAATTGTCGAAATGCGCATCTGAAACAGTAAAATTGATATCGTTATTGATATTATAACTTTTAGAGAAATTGATGGAATTCTCGACTGCTACTTGAATACAATAGTATGTTGATAACGGGGGCCTCAAAGAGTTGTTGCAAAGGTTTGTAACGTTCAGAGAGCGTGGCACGCTCTCTAAACGAGACATTTTAGTATAACGTCTCCATTCTGACCGGAGGTGACTGAAAACTTATACATACAGCACAACGAATCGGACGTATAATGTTTAAAGGGTCTACTGTCGGTTGGAAGGAGACTGTTGTAACTATATTTCCATACCTCAGTCACCTTCGGGTTCGTAGATAGCTAGGTTGGTTCCCTCTGTAAAATATTCAGTATGCCTTCTGAATTGTCAAACTTGTCAAATAACGTCCGGATACCAGTCTAGTAGATAGCACACCGGGTATCCTGATTCGAAATCTGTGAAAGGATCCGAATCCCTATGAGCAATTACACTTTGTTTAGTGAAATTCGTATGCACAATCTGGATCCGATTTCCACGGAGGATTATACTCGGATCCAGATTGTACGTACGAATTGTACTAAACAAAGTAGAAGACATATTCAAAAATGTATGAACAGTGACAATTACAATGTTCTATAAATATTTTGATAATAATAGTAATATGATTAAAACCGTCAGCCATATCACATAGTGCAAAGCGTTAGGAAAAACCTATTTGATAAAGGTAAACATAGCTATATTGTTTTGTACACAAATATGTTATATTTTTTTATTTTTTTTTGAGGGGGGGGGGGATTTCCAATAAATATAGGGATACACAAATTCTCTACATTGAAATACAAATACATGTTAATTTACGTAGTATATTGGAAAAGGATTGCACATTTATTGACAAACAATTGTCATCGTGACATGAAAACTGACAGAGATTATGGTTTAAGTTCCAAAGAATGACTTCAAACGCAGTCCGGTGGATACTATGTTGTTTATTCATTTCCATTTGTAAGTAACTCTATCATAACATACTACTGAATAAGTTACTTTAAACAGGTTGGTTACAATTGTAATTGTGTTTTTAAAGTTTATTTAAGTCAATAAAGAGTTAACTGAGGTATGTGTCGGGGCCTGGAAGTTTTAAAGGACAGAGAGACATCGGGGGTTTTGAAATGGTAGGCTTGAATCCCCACCTGACCATTTGTCCATACCCCATCAGTAATATTGAGCTGGTAAGCAGGTATTCTATATTCATAATTTACCAGAGATGTAACTTTCTGTCTCCCGTTCCTCGTATATTTTTACACCGCCTTCGTTTCCTTTTCTATCGTCCCCCTTTTTTCTCTTTACAAGCAAGGTTATTCGCACAAAGAGTCATTTCTATCGGTTAACAGAGAGGTTCCCCGAGTATACTGATCAACATTCTTATCAGTTCGCATGCAAACATTCGCGAGTTCTTTATGAGATAAAAAAGAAATAAATTCATTCCCCCTTCTGGAGATCATGATTACACTCCCTGCTTTTGGTGGAGTTCGTTTTTTTCGGTTTTTGAGTTTTTATTTCG